GTCATAGCACATTCTTACATAGAAAAACAGAAAAATACGTCATGACTTTCCAGGCGATCTGATATGAATATATATCTTTGGTGGGATGGTGCTAACTGAGTCTGCAGTAAGGAAGTGAGACACTCAGGAAGTAAGAGTGAGGGAACATATGTGGAAGCCTCAGTGTGGTGGAAGATGGGGAGACATGGTTTGTGTGGTGGGTGGAGTGCTGGACTTGGATTCAGGGGGTGCGTATTCCACGCCTTTGTATGGTCTCCATTGTGTTACACAACCTGGGGAAGGCCACCACATTTTCCTCATCTGACAGTGAGAGGATTAGTCTAGAATTTCATCTATTAGCCCAAGGTTGGGAACTCCTGTTCCATATGATCTAAAAATCTATAGCTCTGAAATGTTATGAGCCTAGAATGTCTGGTCTGTAACCTGTTGGAAGTGAGCATTCAGGGAATAGAGGCTTGTAATAAAAGTGGCTTTAGCAGTAGACGTAGAGTGATGTGTGAGTGTGTGTGTATGTGTGTGTATGTGTGTGTGTGTTGATGGTAACACTTCTCTTTATTCTCTCGATGCTGGTTCCACAACATGGCACCTCTGTATACTTCACTGGGGGCATTTCTGTCTCCAGGAGAGCAGGTCCATGAGAGTGCTCTAGCTGCTGATTTAGAGTTCCAGCTGTTTGGGCGTTGAGATAGATTAAGCTGTGCTAGCCTAGATTGGACTGAGAAAGCTGTCTTAAAGAAAAACGATGGTTGAATTCTTTGGAGATAACCCCCAGCCCCACCCCACTTTCCATATAGCTGAGAGAACCACTACAGAGAGTGAACCTGGTATGTAATTTCTTGATGGATTAGGTGGTGGGAGAGTTGGGAGACTAAATAAATAAATAAGAAGAAATGGTCCTAATTGTGTCTGGGCTTTCTTCCCTAGGAACTTTTAACTTGCTGTGAAGAAGGGAAAGGGGAGCTCAAAGATGGCCTGGAGGTGATGCTCAGTGTCCCAAAGAAAGCCAACGACGCCATGCACGTCAGCATGCTGGAAGGTAGCTGCCCGCCCTGCCTGCCCTGCCCGCTGGGGAAGTGTCCTCCTCCCAAACCCAGGGAGCTTATGTACGTGTTGTGGGAGGGAAGTGGCCATGATGTCAGGCAAGGGGCCAGGCTGGCAGAGAGGAGGAATGGTGGGTTGTTACAATTGTCCTTGGCATGTGAGAGCTCCACCGACACCAGCTGGACTACTGCCCTGCCCCAGGTAGGATGGGCCCAAGCCATTGAAGGTACGTGGATACCTCGCTGTCCGTTAGAGTCTAAGACAGGCTGGCGTCAGAATGTGAATGTGCTAGAGCCCTCACCCACCACAGGTCTGTTTATAGCATCGGCACTGCTTTTGTTATCAGAATAGGTAGAAACTCTCATTACAGCCACTCAAGCTCACCCACCACCACCATCTTCAGCCGTATGCCCCCCTTTTTTATTGTGGAAAAATGTGCATCACATAAATTTACCATTTTATCCACCTTTAAGTGTGTGTTTCAGTGGCGTTCAGTGCATTCACATTTCGAGGACCAGCGGGTGGCATGGTAGTTAAGGTGCTGAACACTCCCACATGGCTGACCACGGTTCAAGTCCTGAACCTGATGGCTAGCTTTCTCTTTCTCTCTGTCTCTGTCTCTCTCTAGTCAAATTAAAAAAAAAAAAAAAACGAATAAATAAAATTAAAATAAAATTATTCTTAAAAAAATTATTTAAAAAAGTACATTCACATTTCTTTTTTGCGGGGGGATGGATGTAGATTTTTGCTATAGGGTGTGGGCGCTTGCCAGAGAGACAGAGACAAAAAGTGAGAAATCACCCTGGGTAGGGAATGACCACGCCTCCTCCATTCTCCTCTCAGGATTTTGGGCATGCACGCATACGAGCCTACCACAAGTTTAATCTGCTGGGTCCAGGCCTCAAACCATGGCAGACTACATGGGAGTCTGGCAACATAACCATTATGCCATCTGCTGGGCCCAAGTACATTCACATTCTTATACAGTCGGCTTTTTGTCCTTCCTAGCACGTTAGCAAAGTCCAGTCAGATATCCCTAATAATACTCCAATCAGCTTAAACTAGATTCTTGGAGTCCAGAAACCTTGTAGAGTAGTACTAATAAAGTGCAAAACAGATGGACAGAGCAGCCAGATTGGAGTGGAATTTTTCAGATGAGTTAAGAGTCAACATTCTAGTCTAGGCTGACAAGAGGTGCTAAAGAAAACATGTATAATCTGTTGCAAGTGGGTAAGCATATGTGTGGGATTTTCTTCTTCTGCTCTCCTGCCCCACCACTACTGTCTGAAGAACTTGGTCTGGTCTGAGTACTGCCTAGACTGCCCGAAGCACAGGAAACCCCACTTTGAGCAGAGAGCCCTGGACTAACCATCGGAATGCATTCCTGTTGTCACAATGTCATCCCCCTTTCTTTTCTCTTTGCACCTGCTCCCTAGCATAGCGTCTGCCTCTGTAAGTGCCCTCGCCCTCCAGCCTGCCCCTGCCCAGTATTCCAAAACCAGCTGCTCTGAGTATGGTTGTGCACCAGCAGCAGCTTATTGGACCTGGGAGCTTATTGGAAATGCCAACTTATGGACTCACCCCACATTTACTGAATCAGAATCTCTTGGGAGGAAGAGGGTGGAGAAGAATCTATAGTTTCATAAACTCTCCAGGTGATTCTTCCGCGTAGTGAAGTATAAGAACGTCTCTTAAAGACTCAAGGGGAATAAATATAAACAGACACAGGCTGGTGCTCTACCCGTGTGGGAGCAATTAAAGGAAGAGTCCTAGGCATGAAATATAAGAAATTGGGCAATGGAGAATGAAGAGGAGCCAGGGTACTCAGTCAGGCAGCATTTGTCTTCAGCCTCCCTTGGAGCTCCTAATTAGGAACAGTGGAGAGCTGTAGAGGAAAAGGGGGCTATGGAGTCTGCCCTTGCAGGAGGGCCCAGGCTCATGGCAGAGTGGGAAGAGAGGAGGTCGTAGCGGATCTAGGCGAGCACACTAGCATTGATTCTGTATATAGGCGATGTGGGGCAGGAATGGGGTGGAGGAGGTCTAATTACACTTCTGCAGAGATGTCTCCATAAGTGTTCAGGGATCTCTACAGTCATTAGAAAGACAAAAAGCCTGTAGACATTGAGAACTAACAATTGGGAAAACCTTTTTTCCAGAAGGGAACGGGACGTGAATCCTGGATTCGGCAGTAGAGAAACTCCACAGTGGGGGAATGGGTGTTTTTCAGGGTTCGACGAGAACTTGGATGTGCAAGGGGAGTTGATTCTTCAGGATGCCTTTCAAGTGTGGGACCCGAAGTCTCTGATCCGGAAGGGCCGGGAGCGGCACTTATTCCTTTTTGAGATCTCCTTGGTTTTTAGCAAAGAGATCAAAGATTCTTCAGGACACACGAAATATGTTTACAAGAACAAGCTACTGGTAGGTGGGGCAGGTGGGCTAAGACAAGACTCTCAGCTTTCAGAGAGCCCGTGGGCAGGAAGGGATCTTGAAACACTCAGTTCATCTCTTCCCTTGCCTCCACACCAAAACCATCCTGGACAAATGACAATGTCTCCTATTTGGAAAGCACCCACCCTCACCTCCCACGTCTGCATTTTAGAGTTCACAGTTCTTCCTTCTGTTTGCTTTTAGCACCTCCCTCTTCACCTTCCCTCCCTGGTACCTGCTAATCAGGCATGTGCCTGTGGGGCCTTCCATCCCGGGTAGATGAACAGAATGTCCAGTCTGTTTAAGTTTGATTGACAGAAGCCCCTCCCTCGGCCCTCTCCTCTTTGTCGCCTTTCCCTTCCCACCCCAGCCCTAAGTTTCCCCACTGCCCTCCCCTTCCCCGCCTCTCACAGGCATTTCCTGTCTACAGACCTCAGAGCTGGGTGTGACGGAGCATGTGGAAGGCGACCCCTGCAAATTCGCCTTGTGGTCTGGGCGCACCCCATCCTCAGACAACAAAACAGTGCTGAAAGTAAGTGCTGGTCTCTGCTGGGCACCAGACCCAGGCTGAGGCCCCTGGTGGGGGAGTGGGTTTGAGCATGTGAGACTGCACTGAGCCTCTGGGCTTGTCTGGGAAACAACATCACATAGTTATTGAGAAGCAAATTCGTTTGTAAAGTTAGACCCAGAATCTGAAAGATGAATGAATGGTCTCTTGTGTGACCAGAGATGGAAGAGGACAGGAATGGTCTGTTAGACTTCCCCAGCAAGGCTCACTTATACTATGTTCTGTCCACTTGTCTCTTTCAAGTGACAAGAACAATAACTGACCTTTTGACACCTCGGTTTGCTCTACATTTACTTAACTTTTTTTCCTAAACACCTTCCAAAGGTATTCTGCTCAGAGCTGCAGAGGATAACTATGAGTAAGATATGAACTTACTCTCTGGGAATTTACATTCTAGGGGCTCTAGTAAGTCCCACTGGCAGTGGGACCATGTTGATCATGACAAGTGTCTAGGAGGGGCCTTTCACCAGAAGGACTTACGGAGTGCTCTCAGGGTGCAGGTTAGGAATTGAGTCAAGACTTGGGCCATTTACTTGTCATGGATTGCCCATCGCCAAGGAAAAGATGATCCAACAAAAGCTTTGTCCTTGCTCATTGAATTGCCAGCACAGCTTTTATGTATCCTAAGACAGAATTATGCGAAAAAAATTGCACAAAGACAAATGGGATATTCATGGACTGAAAGCAAGGCCCTCAATGAGCAGTTTTAGCAGGCTAAAAACCCATGACTCTCTTTCAGTTAGTACAACCTATGTACCTGGGCTCGGTGGTAAATGTCCTGATGTAGATCCATAACTAACGGAGAAAGAGGTGCTGCCTGCATATACCCCCTTGCCCTCCCTCCCACAGGCCCCAGACCTGCCCAAGATCTAATAGCTCAAGTGTGGATCCCTAGCCCAGTGGGGCTTCCACACCCTGCTCAAGCCCCAGGACAGATGTCAGGATTGGTCAGTACCTTCTGAATTATTAAATGCTTTGAAAATTTCTCTTGTGCAAGTCTGCATTGAATATCAAGGTCACAACCCTGTTCTATGAGTTAGAAAAGTGTGTCCCTGGGATTGAAGAATATACTTGGGAGTATAAAGTGAGAAATGAACTCCCCAAATATTTAGTATTCTTGAAAATGACAGATGAAGTCTGCAGGAGGAGGGTTGAGAACTGTTTTGACAGGTGAAGGAAGTTGGGGTTCTCAATCTTTCTCCCTGTGGCACTCCAGGCCTCCAATATTGAAACCAAGCTTTTAGAACATTCGAGAAGTGATTCAAGAAAGGATCATTCATCTGAAAGGAGCTTTAAAGGAGCCAATTCAGCTCCCCAAAACACCAGCCAAACAGAGGAACAATAGTAAGAGGTAACCAGCATCTCTCCCTCCAGCTCTGCCTGCCTCACATGCTGCCAGGTGACCCTCTGCTCCTGAAGGAGTGCCAAAGTCCGCATGTGGCACCTTTCCTGGGATGGCCCATGAGTTCCACCCAAGATGAATTCCCATCTTGCCATTTTCATTTCAGTTACCTATGTCCAGAGTCCAGGTTAGGGGAAGAGTTCATGTGGCACTGGAGACAGGACCTGCTTCAGGCCCTTACTTTCATCTCACCAGTTTCTGTCAATTAAATTCAGCTGGACTTCACTGAGCACCTCTTATTTGATCAACCCTCTGCTGGGTGCTAGAAAAAGAAAAAAGGAAGTGTAAAATGAGTCAGTTCCCTCATGTACCATGTAACAGTTATATCTTTTGTGTGAAATAGTTAGGCAAGAAGAACCAGTACCATCGTAGGGATAATAAATGCTGTAAGAATTCAAAGAAAGGGGACTTTAGGTGAGCCCTTGAATGGAGAGTGTGGGAAAGGCATGAGGAAGGAGCTGAGCTGAGAGTGGGGAGCTCTCTGGACTGGGTAGGCCATGAAAGAGCTCTGTGTGATGTAACACGTGGGTGATATGGTGTGTTATCATTGCAGTTCTTACTGCAGCCCCTGCAGAGTCCTTACCGCCATTTACCTGAGATAAATTATTTCTCACATTTCTCTGCAATGAGAGAAATGAGTTTTAGTCTCCTCTAAACCAGTGGATAACTTAAAATTTTCATTCTTGGAACCAGCAGATGGCAGAATGGTTACATCACTGGATTCCCATGTAATCAACCATGGTTTGAGTCTGGACGTGGCAGCTTAAACCTCACTCCAGGCATGTGTGCATGCATACCCAAGATCCCGAGAGGAAACTGGAGGAGAAGGGATTGTGGCGTGACCATCCCCCTTAGGGGGCAATTTCTCACTCTATGTCTCTGTCTCTCCAGCAAGCACATGCATGCTATAGCAAGCATATCTTAACAAACAAAACCCTTCTTTCTCAAGTCTCCATGTAGTACCTACATTTACAGTGATGCTCTTGGAGGGCACGTCTAAAGGAAGCACACAAAAACTTCACAGAAGTGGGGGCAGGGGAGAGATAAAAGCCAGAGTTCTGGCAATGATGGGGATTGGTGAGAACAGGTTCTCCTCTCTTCCTCCATTCATTACTGTAATAAATCCGGAGGATTCAGCTTGCCTTTGGGTACCAAGCAGAATGAGCAGGGTAGAAAGCCACATCAGAGCCGACCAAGTAGCAGTATTGGTCCTGAGTCAGGCAGCAACAGAAGGGAATGCCCTGGATAAAGATACCTCTTTGGGGCAGAAGCCCTCACACCTGCATGGCCAGAGTAAGGTTAGCTTCCCAGCTGGAAGAACAAACTACAACTGTACTGGGGAGCGGCCATTTTTATTTCAGTTGCCTATGTCCAGAGTCCAGGTTAGGGGGAGAGTTCATGTGGCACTGGAGACAGGACCTGCTTCAGGCCTTACTGTCATAAAGAAATTAGAAGGGAAGCAGTTACAGAGAACTGCTTGTTCACAGCCATGGTAAAAGGGTATTCAGATGAGGCTGACTGGTGCTTCTTTGTGAGGTAGCCTCCTTCTCCTAGAGTTTCTAGAACATGATAAGGGTATAATTTGGAAAGCCATCCCTACCCCCTTCTTTTCTCCCGTCCTGCACTGGGTGGGTGAGAGACCTTGTGAATTCCACAGAGAACAGCAAGGCCATCACTACGTCCATTAGTTTTCCTCCCTAGATACGGGGACAGAGTTTACAGAGGAGAGACTGGCTTGAGGAGTGCCACCCACACTCCTGGATGGGCTCCCCACATTCCTCAGAACTAGCTTCATATGCAGTCGACCAGAAGGGCCCACACTGGGCCAGAATAGCAGGAAGCAGAAAGTACAGCCAGCTCCCAACAACCTACAAATCGTGGGGAACAGTGGCCCAGATAATGCAAAACAACAGATGACTTGAAAGTCCTTTATTTTTGGGTTTGAAATGCATCACGTAATTTCTTTTTACAGCAGATTTTCCTTCCTACGAATGTGTGGCTTATGTTATTAAAATAAGTTGGCATTTTCCAAGCGCACAAGTAGTGGAGGAAGAGCAGTTGACTCAGGAATGTTCTAGATGGAAGAAAATACTTCTTGTGACAAGTAGATACTGTGTAGATACATACGTACATACATGGATACCTGCGTGTGCACACATGTCCACATACACTCACACATATGCCCGATCACTGTTTGGACTCTGAAGTGGAGTCATTATTTATGGCACTCTGCCATGTGGTGAGATCATCAGGCATCAAGCCCCCTTGTTCCCCAGTGCCTCTATATCACCACAAGCTGCACCAGGGCCTGACTTTGGTAAATGCATCCATGGGAAGAAGCATCCAGCCCCCGCCCCACATCACTCCCAGTCTGTCTTGCCACAGACCACTCAGCTGTTTCCAGGCGACCTGGCTGTGTGTTCAGTGTGGGATGGGGGCACCATTCTAAAGCTGGAGAGTTGAAGAACATGAGTTGGGACAGCTCTGTGGCCCAGGGGCCTGGGAGGGGTTTAAATGGCAGCACAGACTCAGGAGACTGTCCTGTCAGACACCCGGGAACACGGGAGCCTCAAGTGTTGCTACGGAATCTGTGGCTGTTCTCCAGTCTTTGAGAAAATGCCCTGGCCTTCTGTGTTGATAAGAAATCATCACAAATAGGTATCAGATCAACAAGACCTGCCGGAATGAAGGCAGTAAGCTCCTCCTCTGTACCCAGGAACTCAGCGTCCAACATCAGGAATTTCCCAAAGATAATCTTCCATGGAGAAAAGATAACACCCCTTTTCTTGTGCAGAAGAAACACAAGTCAAAAAATGAATAAATACATAAATAAATAAAAATAAGGTCTGTTTACAGGCCAGCTATAAACTAAGTCCCATCCTAGTTACAGCATACAGAAAAACTATTTGAGTACCTTGAACTCTGGGATTATCAGAAATAATCCAGGCAGCTGGATAGAAGCCTAAGTTCCAGTAGGATAGAGATCATCCTACTGAATGCAGTGATTATGTGTTTACTAAGTACAAGAGGTGACGTCATTGAAAATCACATGGGGCTGCTCCCTTTAGCAGGATCATTTTAGACAAATCCCTGCTAGAAAGGGCTGAGGCACTGCTCCACCAACCCAGCAGAAAATCCTTGTGTGCTCTAAACCCACAGTGGTTCCCCCCACCCCCACCCCTGTTTTTTTTTTCCTCTTCTTCCTGCAGAGACGGAGTGGAGGATATTGACAGCCAGGGGGATGGGAGCAGCCAGCCAGACACCATCTCCATTGCCTCAAGGACCTCTCAGAACACAGTGGACAGTGACAAGGTAGGACAGTGTCCCAACCTTCCTTCCCCTAAGACTTCTTATTGGTATAACCATGCTGGAGAGGTACCCCCAGAGGAATTCCTCCCACTGCAGAACCTAACCTCAGGATCCAGTTGAATCTTTGTGCAAGCCAAAGTGGGGAGAGCAGAGCTGGAAGAGGCCTCTCACAGCACCGAGATCTGTCTGAGGGTAGAGAGGAGTAGGGAGGTTCAATCTGACCTCTCATGCTGCAGTTTAGTGGAACTGGAAAGGATGAAGAGTGAGTGTAGGCTTCTCTTTCTGAGATGCCCTACATGGGCTGCTTGGGCTGCTCTGCCCTCTAGGAAGATGGATCTCAGGGAGGCCGAGGTTGGAATTGGTTCTGAGACCTTAGTGGCTATCACTGTCTCAAATTTATAATGATTTGAATGGACTCATCTCAGAGTTAGACAAGACTAATCATTTCAGAAGTGAGTAGGGTCCTCTTAGTGAAAAAGGCCTTTCTTTGGCCAGATTACTGGGACTCAGTTCCTGCGGAACAGGAGGGCCAGGTGTGTGAAGCAACACGTAAGGAATATAAAAGCCTTGTTAAAAAAGCTTAGTTGCTTGCATCCTACATCTTAAAGCAAGTAAGCAAAATTAGAAGTTCTGATGGGCAGTGAAAGAAGAGAGACTGCAGCAAAGATTCCTTGTATTTGCTCAAGCTGGCTGAGGAATGCAGCCCTCAGAATTTGCAGCAGATGGAGGAAAGAGTCCATGCCTGAACCTACTCGCATTTGCTACCCAGAGCCCAAAGAGTATGAGATGACCTTTTGCTGCACATTAGTGATTTTATTAATGAAGCTATGGGCTTTAAAAGACCATTTGGCCCTAGTTTATCCAGACCTAGTATTTTGGCCTACTCTTTCAGCCTCAAGCGGCAGACTGTCCTTGCTTAATTATAGTTTCCAGGTTATGTATTTTTTTTAAGATGATCTGCATTCATTAGAATTTTTCTTAACATTTTCTTACTAAAGAAAAAAAACAAAAACAAAAACGCTCAGACCTTAGTGTGGGGACCGTGCCCCAGACGTGCTGAGATGACAGTGGCAACATCCTAATCATGCTTTAGACTAGTGTTCGAGGACACTCAAGGTGACTCTGACGCTGCCTTCAAGTTTTTAGCCATTTTTAACTGACTGTCAGAGTGGATGGAAAATTCATTTTTTTTCTTCTCATGAAAACATACAGAAAAAACTATTTCTGTGCTTTCCTAACTCCTATGATCTACTGTCTAGAAATATAACCTAGAATACCCTGTGAATAAAAGTGTTCCTCTTTGAACAGTGAGTGAGTGGTTTGTCATGGGCAGTGTTTCCCATGTTTAGACAGACTATTGTTTTCATGATCCAGAGGATTCATCCCTTCAGCTGCTAATTCATCGTCTAAGCAGCCTGACTTAGACACAGACCCCTACCCTAGAGCCGTTTGTCTTAGGAAGACTTCAGCCCAGCTGTTCCTTGTCTTTCTGGCAAGGTAAGTGAGACTGTATTTGAAGACCTCTAAGACAGGCATTTCACTAATAAGAGGGATCCTGGTACTTATACTTTGATTTATATGTAAGGAAACTGAGTTTCAGAGAGGCTGAAGGATTTGCCTAAAAGAATTCTAGTAATTTGTGGAAAAACAAGAGCTAAAATCCAGATCTCTTGTTCGCTGTCATGTTTTTCCTCCACTCTAAAAGTCAAAGCATTGAACTCTGAGTGGTAAGATTAACTCAGCTGGTCAGTCTTCCTGCACACCCCATGAAAACATCAGCCACATATTCATGGAAAAGCACCCACCATGTGCCAAACTCTGGTGGATACTGTAGAGAGATGTGGGCTGTTTGTTGAGTGTGAATCTGTATCTGTGCGACTTTTTGTTTTCTGTCTGTCTGTTTACCTGGTCCGTGAGGCCTTGGTGCGGGCAGAGGCTGTGTCTGTTCCATTGCTGTCCTCCTGGCCTGCGGTATACAGAGGTGCTTATGGGGTGAATGAATAGAGGAGATACAGTGCCTGGTCTCAGGGAACACCAGGATTAAGAGCAGCTGAAACCAGCGGTCTGAAAGCAGTCCGATAAACGCTGTACTTTGAGTATGCTAAAGAAGCTTATGAGGTTCCTTACCGCCTAGCAGAAAGCTTTAGTAAGCCGGAGAACCTGGGCTGTGGAAACCATCTTCTCTGATCTTAGGCGAGAGATGTGGGTAGAAAGTCAGGAGATGTTGGGAGATTCTACAGTCCATACACAAAACTTAGAAAATGCGTAGTAGTTTCCTCTTTGAAATAACATGGAGAGAGAGCTTGTGACTATGCCTTGTAATTGAACATGCTCCAACTCTATTGACAGAACACTGGTAATGGGGCAGCCTTGTGTCTTCCATGCACGCCCTTCCTCAGCAAGATCATTCATGGGTCCCTTCGAATCTGTAGGTCTTATCAACAATGTCACATTTTCCCTGACTGTACCAGAAGGCCAGGGAGCCCTGTAAGCAGATCCTGAAAAAGAGAGCGGTGACTAAGTAGGCTGTGTGCGGTAACCCAAGCCATGTTCACCAGAAGGGAATGCACGGCTGGTTGCAGGGAGCGGACCGCCTCACAGAGTTGCTGCGCAGAAACCAGAATTCTTGTAACAGTCCTAGGTGCTGTGCAGAAAAGGCCATGATTGATGGAGATTCGAATCCTGGCTCCTGTGGCTCCCTGTGGGTGTGTGTACCCATGTCCAGTATCCTGACTGGATGATAATTTGGAGGAAAAAGGACTGTGGAATGACCAGACCCCACTGAGGGGTGGAGAGCATTCTCTCTCTCTCTCTCTCATTTTCTCTCTTTCTCTTGTACACATTCATGCACCCTGTGGCATAAAAATAAATACATAAAAACAATCTCTAAAAGCCAATGCATTTCTATAGAAGTATTCCAGTCATTCTCTTCTAGTCCAAAGTAGTGGCAGTAATAGTGACAGCGTTCACCTGGGTAGATGAGGAAAGCATAAAAGACCATGATAGACCAGCTTGAGAAGCTATGGGGCCCTAGGGTACCCTTCTAATCATGCCACGTGAATTTTCTATGCTCTCTTGTGGTGGAAGGAATTTGGACACACCTGGTTTCAAATCCCAGTTTTGTCACTCTCTGTATCACATGGCCTACGGCAAAGATAACAACCCTCACCTTGCTAGTCATTAGGAAGATTAAGTAACCTGTGTTTACACGGTAACTGTTAGGCATTCAGTAAAGGTTAATCCCTACTCTTATTACAGAGAAAGCAAAGGTTTAGATACTATAGGAGTGCACAATTATTTAGCCAGCTGTGAGGATCTTTGAACGTTCTTAAGTTCTGCCCTCTGGTTCTATCATTTGTTAACCAATCATCAGACTTTTCTCTGTGTTAGACTCAAAGTGATGCCAGACAACTTTACTCTGCTTTGCATCTATTTGCCCTTAGGAACTAAGGCTTAGATATTTGTTGTTAGCACAAGCTCATGGGTTATTTTATTATTCAATGGTTTTTAATCTAGGACCATTCATTTTAGTCCTTAAATTGTCCCACATTTGACCAGTGTCAGCTCTAACGGGTGCATTTGAAGATGCTTCTCCTTTTTTTTTCTCCTAATCATCTCTGTTTAAGTTAGAAGACCTCAGTTTCTCCTGCTATTGCTGATGTTAGTATATTTTTAGATGCTACTACATCCCAGTTGCCCTCCTCTAAGTTTACTCCAGTGAATAATTTCTATGGAAAATGCAGCCTCTGGAGTGGTGCATAATGCGACAGACATGTCTATCTCGTGTGCATCGAGCTCTGTCTTCCAGGGCCAGTGTGTACCCCGCCCCTAAGACAGTACCTCCGATTTGGTATGTGTGTCCTTTGTTGATGCATGCAGTCTCCAGGGCCTCTTTTTAATGGACTACTCTCCTTTGGTTGGGTGACTTAGCAGCCTGAGTTTGGAACTATTAGCTTACACTCTTAGATTTTTCTCTTACTTAGTCCATCTTGGTATTCCAGCATGTACAAATATAAATTACCTTGTCCACTATGTTAGCTGTATCTCTCAACATTATTGGACAAATGTGTCTTCTGTGGTTTCATCCAAGTTCTTTGAAAAAATACAAGGTTTAGGAGGGAGGACCAGTGCCCCCTCCTAATTTCTCACCCAGGGTTTATCACTTGGAAACCCCCTTGTCTGGCTTTTCTTTAAGAAATCCAGAGAAGGAAATTCAACCACTTTTTCCTGTAGCAGAGGAACTGGGTTGTTCTCTTAAGCTGTAAATTCTCCCTTGATGAGAAAACAGCCTAATGTTCTTAATTCTGTCATAAATACTGACCAAGCCAGTATGAGTGCCTCAGTAAATGGTGTTAATAGCTTTTGTTCAACCCTCAAATAGGTCTGCATCATTAGATTCTACCTTATGCCTATTTGATGAAAAGTGTGGTCTCCCTTAGGACCAATGGTGTGCTGACTTTGTCTCATGATGATCTGAGGCCCTCTCTACTCTTTCCAGGAATCTATTGATGGTACTATGAGCAGGACGTTCCACTAAATATTTCTTTGCCTATATGTGTACTAAATGATGGGGCTTTGGAGCCACACTTCAAAAAAATCCAGAATTGCAGAATTTTAGTCAGGCAAGACTGAGTAATTTAGTGGCAGCAGGGAAGTATCTCATTGTTTAACATGATGGATGTCTGTCAAATAATTTGTAATGATACGGAAGCAGCTATCTTTACTGCAGGCATCCCAGGGCATGTATTTACTATTTAGGATAGTCATGCTGGAAACATTCAGTAAATGCTTATTGAATTGTACATTACAAACCCTTAACACTCTCCATCCAAAAATCGCTATGAATTTCTAGACTTGTTCAGACTGACTGGAGACAGTGAAATTGAATTACACCTGCTCTTCTCTGCCGAAATGGTAAGGGAGAACACTTCTGGAACATCACAGGGCTGATGTGTGATTTGAATGAGAACTTGAGTAACAAGCTAATGTGATCTGAGGTGGAA